GAGAGAGAGAGAGAGAGGGAGAGAGAAAGAGAAAGAGACGATTTAAACAGAAATACCACATAGTACAATATATATGTGAATCATACTTCAGTGTTAGCTATAACTAACACAACATTTATCTGGACTAGCAAACTGTCCGTCCTTATTTACATTTCTGTAGTAAAGTTTTTGACTTTGCATTGGCTGAACGGTTCGCAGTCTGTTTACCTTCCATATTGAGTTGGCAGAAATTTTGCCATTCCGTTTACCTCGATAACTGTTTGTTTAGAAAAAAAGGTGCCGTTCTAGAAAGAATATTGTTTGAGGGTCAAATAACATGCTCACTGCCTAATCAATTTCCGAAAAACATCGCATTATGATTATCACATGTTTAAGTTCAAATCTCTTCTCATATTTATCATAATCTTCCAGACAGACATGTGAGCGTATGACATTGGACCCTGGGCAAAAAGCGACTGATATCAATAATACTGATTAACGTAAACAGGGCAGCGATACCTTTTAACTTAAGCGAAAAACCACGTTCTTGGCCAGAGTTCTTTTTGCTGAAGTGTGAGAAATAGCTGCTCTGCTATTTTATTCCCCGTTTAGAAGTGCACTGGTGACGAGAAATGGGCGTCATATCATGACATCGCTAAGCTCTATTTATTACCTCGGTGCAGTATTCAGAGAGGTTGCTTTGTTAAAGAATTGGATGCGTGCTTGGAAGTAATCACCTGTCTCCGTGTAAAAAGGAATACCCCTTTGAACCTTTTTAAAGGCGGAATTAGCCAAACAATTTTTGAGTAATTTACGAGAAGGCCACATAGCTGCAACGATTTGCCATTTTCAAGAGAATATCTCTCTTCATTTATATTCAGTGTTTACCTTTTGAAGGGGATAGAGCATAAAATTGGTATCTAAAATATAGAAAAGCAACAATTAGATTTCTAGTGTTCATGGAGAAGTTATGTGGGTCAATGGAATTTTTCTTATAAACAGTTTTCACAATTCATAAAATAACAATCCAAGTTATATTGCGGCGTATCACCTTAAAACAAAATCCTGTCAATATTTCAGAGCTGTCATGAAATAATATCGAATAGGGCAACATTAAGACTATTATTACAGGTAACCTACTATTGCTACATCATGAGCGCAAATTAAAGTTAATATCTCTGAAAGTACCACACACGATTTTTTACTATCCGAAAACATAAACCCTGAACAACGACCATCCCCAGTACAAATCATAGGTAAGCATTTCAGTGTAAACTACGTTTAAAAGGAAACATACAACGCAATGTTCTTCTTCTTTTTTTTTTTGGTAACAGCTGCGCTCTCGTGTTTGGAAGCGGGACTCCGCTGGACTCATTCACCCGCCCTCGCAGGAATGCAGATATCTGATGCGATCCCACAGCAGATTTAACATCCCGAACGTGGTCTCCAAGCACTTGGGGGGTTCAAGACTATGCAGTTGTGATACTCTGCGCAGACCAGGGAACTCGCTCGAGAAGAGTCGGCCATTAAAACAGACAAGAATGGCAGCAGTTGGAGAGGTTCAAACAGCGTTTATGGAAAGATTGAAATCTGTGTATATATGCTTTGAGGAATAGCACGATTTTTTAAACGGAGAAAATGAAGATCTCTTTGCTACAGCTGGGCTATAAATCAGGAACCCTGGTGGGTTTTTTCCTTGCCTTTTTTTTTGGAAAGGGGGGGGGGTATCTCCACACATTTGATGCATAGCTTTAATGCTAGAGACTTTCTAAAAACTAGAAGCTTCGTTGCTATTTGCGGAACAGGGAAAGCTGATAATAATAATAATACCCTTCGATTAACATTTTACACCTTCAAGCGAACTATTTTTACCGCTTCTATCTCTGACCTTTTTCTTGTCATAAGAAATCATAATTTTTAGAAAGTCTAGAATTAAGGCACTTGATGAGCACAAAAATGAGGTAAATATTCGTTGGATAAACACTATAAAGTAATGTTGCAAGATTAAAATCTTATAGTAACCATGGTACTTGCACGCTTTTTGTTCTTTGTTGTTTTTTCCCCTTCTTTTTTTACGCAACTCACTTAACGTGGATCTTCGTCCAAACTACAGTAAGGCTTAAACCACAGAAATCTTAAGCTCAACAAAATCAGCAGTTGGAAATTTCGGGAGTGGAAATACAGGGGGCTTTTTAAGAAGGTTGGTTGTGGGGGGAGGGACAAACAAGGGAAGAGAGAGGCGATAATAATGAGGGCGGGGACGTTAGTGCCAAAAAGAAAAAAGAAAAAAAGGAAAAAATCAGGGCCATAAAGATAGGTCTGGGAGAAGGAGGATGGAAAGAAAGCATAGGAGTGGGAAGGAAGATTGACAGGATAACATTGACGCCCATGATAATGAACGACCTGGAGAGACGTAAGTGGGAGTGGTGAAAAGTCACAGAAATGCAGTATGTGAGAGAAGCAGATCGTCGTTTTGCATCTGTCCAGTGCACTAGAGCGCCAGTGCGCTTTTATACGTCAGTGTGTTATCATAAGCTTCGTGTGTGTGCGTGTATGTGTATGTGGTTGTGATACAAGAATACATTCGTGTTTATAAATAAATCTGTAAATACCTCTCTCGCGAGATGTGTGTGTGTGTTTTGTGTGTGTGTGTGTGTGTGTGTGTGTGTGTGTGTGTGTGTGTGTGTGTGTGTGTGTCTTTGTGTGTGCGTGTATGTGTGTGTGTCTGTGTGTGTGTACGTGCAGGCGCTGGCTAAAGAATACAGCTGCGTCTATTATTATGCGTGCATTCACGAGTCTGTGGGTTTACTTTGCCATACCTTAACACGTCCATGATGGGACGACATAAAAGATTCTTTACATCATGAAGGAATGTCTGTCTCCTGTTGGCCGTGATAGATTCCATGCCTACAAAGTTTTGTAGAAAAAAAAATCACAAGAGTAGAACCAACCCGTAGAAAAGGTGTTTATTTTAGTAAACTAAACCTAAAGTAAGCCCTTTATACAACCACATTGACACAATGTATACACCTCTATTGACCCTAACAAGCATGATCGACCAAGATCGAAGCCCGACTTCTAAGTGATCACTAAGAAGGTGAGCTTCGATCCTGCTTATCAAGGTCAACCGGGGTTGAGAGGGATACAACATTACAGCACACAGACGGGAATACTCGATTTTAAAAAACCCAACCTCTTGGCACTGGTAAATCGAACTCGCGTCTTTGCATACGATGGCAAATTTGATGAACTGCTACACCAAAGAGGCCAGTGCAAAAGAGTAACCAGGATCATGTAAACATCTCCTTTTCACGCAAGACCTACTTTCTGCACATTCTGCCATGTGATTATATTAAAGCAATTTTATTTAAATTATTTTTTTTTCGCCCCGAACAAATCAACGAAAGACGTAAAAGACACCCCCGGGGAACTTTGTCATGTGTTGCTCATTTGTCTAGCTACAAACCGCTCTTGTACAAGTAAATTGCGTGGTATAGAGCGCAGGTGATTGACTTCCTTGTCTTGGGAAACGTACGGTAGTGAATAATAGTAATGGATAACTTCTCTTAAAGACTCTAGTAGACAAATCATTAAAAGCGGTCGCTTTGTTCCATTGGAGCAAATTAGATTGTAGTAACATTCTAAACTGAACATCAAATGTAGAAATAAACGTAGGTAAATTGGTGTTCTTAAAAGGGGTACATACACTGCGTCGTAGGTCTGCTCTTTCGGTTATTCTTAATAGACCCTCGATGAAGGTGTCTTGAAAGACAAAGCGTTTTAATTTCTGCAGTGAAATTGCAAATTGTAAAGTCAAAATAAAAATAAAATTGAACAGGCCGTTCAATGCCCGAACAGCAGTGAAAAGATCGCCATGATTATCCTTGAGACTTTCATAAGTTGACTTCTGGCTTACTTTTTCTTCATTGTCATGATAAACAAAGGTACGGACAGTCCAAGCTCGAATCTAAAACGTGGTATTCTCAGCTTTGGTTGCTTGAGGAGGGAGGAGGCTGTTTCACATACAGACTTCAACATAAGTTAAGTACCACCTTGACAGACAGCCCTGATTTTTTTTTAATCCGAAAAAAGACAGCAAGGAATGTTTCAGAATTTTTTTGCTCAGACAATGTTAATGGGTTATCAATGCGTACCTGTAATGCTTCCAAAAGGGGCAAACCCATCACGTGCTGCATGGAAATCCTCGGGGAACTTTAGCCAAAGTTGCTGTTTTTATCGACTTGTGTGCCACACCACGGACATTCATCAATAAAATATCTAGTGCACGTCATAAACGGACATAAGGTCTCGAACTGTGCTCACCTTGGTGGCAATATAAGACGCCGCTTGCGCAAAATCCAGAATCGCATCAACATGCCACCAAGACGAAAGCTAAGAGACTTTGATCGTGTCAGAGCTATGGCATTCCTGCAGGATGGCGTTGGAGCCAAAGAAGTTGCCAGAAGGTTTGCAGTGTTACACTCTGTCATTGTCCGCTTGAGGTAGCGCCATCAAGCCACTGGATCAGTCCAAGAACGCCCACGTGCAGGTCGACCCAAGAAGGCCGCTCAGAGTGTTTGCAAGTTGTTCTTAACTTATATTGAAGTCTGTAGCTCTCGACCCTTTGAATTGGTACGTCAGAGATGAGTGTTTAATTTGAAGATCCTGCCTTGTAAATAACCTTACAGTGCCTAAAGGGGTTAGACCCATACAAGACGCAATGTGCAATGTACTCTTCATTTTTTAGCTCTAGAATGAAAACTGGCATCCTAAAGGAGAACCCCAATGAAACAGATTACATAGATCTAGGTCTAAAACTATTTTGTCAAATTTTAATTATTGACTGCTTTTAGTTATTCCTGAAAAGAGGATGACAGAATCCCAAAATCTTATCTTTGAAATTTGGACTAGCTTTTACATATCGACCTGCCGTTCTGTTTGCCGAGAAACAGGTTTGCATGTCAAAACAGAAGTCGACGACTTCTCGTTGAGTCTCATTATGAACACCTTTACGAAGGTGACCCTTGTGAGGTTTTTCGTCCCTGAAACCACACATAATGGTGTATCCCAGTGTGATCAGTTGCATTACGTGCATAAAGCGTGAAATAATGAACACATAGTTTGTTTGGTCTTGAAAATAGAAAATCAACATAACTTTTCATAAACCACATACATCAGAATGCAAAGAGTGACCTGGATGAAAAAAAATCTAATCGAACGCTTTTATTGATAGCTATAGTTTGGAAAGGGAAAGTTGCACAACTTTTTAAACGAACGAAATATCCATGAAAAAGCACGTCTTTCTTTAATCACGAGCAGACTTTTCCAGGGTAGATAAACATGAATAAACTAAGATGCCGATGTGAGATGTACGTCTATCGAAATCTTTTTCCGCCCTTCCTTCTCCCTCTTTACAGCATAAAGCATCTTCATCCACGCTCGTACTTGCTGGAGAAAGTCTAATGACCTTCCCTACTGTGTTTATTCAAACCGAGGTTCTTGGGGCCAGAAATCTGTTGAATTGCTACTTGTTTCTCCTTAAATTTTTATCCATCCTGGGGTTCATTTTTTTCATCAACAATCTTCAAACAAATGTCCTCGTGCTCAGATGTCAATCCCAGTGGACTTATTGTTTCTTTTGCAGGCGTAGAGGTATTTTTATATCAATAATACGAGCTAACCTTTCGTTTCATATTTTTTCAGGCTTCTTAAGGTGAGGTCTTTGCTGTTTTTCTTGTGTCTGTGGTTTAATGGTTAGTTTAGTACCCGTCGCACGAAAAAGACACGAGTTTGATTCCCTTGAGTGTATCCCATTTTTATGAGTATCTCCTTCTGTCTGCTGGAATGCTGTACACCACTTAGTCTGAATGGGCCAAAAAAAGCATAGTTGAAAAAGTCAGTTTTCTAAATGATGCAATTTGTGTCGAACATACAGTATCAGATCTTTTAGTATTGATTTTTTTATAGTTTTGTAAAAAGAAATTAAATATAGTTCTGGCTATATCAAAGCTACGAGAGTGGAAAGAATATTTTCTGTCATAATATATTCGATCGGTATAACAAAGACCAAAGTAAATGAAGAGCAGTTAAAGGATAAATAGTACAGAGCGTTGCTGCGTAGAGTAGAATCATCGGTCGAGACTTTCATGTCCTGTTCTATAGTACATTTTCAATTGCATCGTTCCCATTACGTTTTTAGAAAAGATTCAATCAAGATGCCCCCCAGGCGTCAGAAATTGCTATAATTTCTCGGGAAAAGAAACGTCGTTAGCTGAAGTAGTTTTTTTCGTGTCTAGGACATAGAAAATTGTTCTTTGCAAATATGTTTTTAATATTTCTGAGCGCTTTTTCCTAATTTATTCCTTTTTGATTGATTTTTCCAGTCTGATTGGCTAATTCTAAAAGGTTATGCCATATGTTATGTGTAGTCTACTTTTGTATACGACTATAAATGCTGGACAATCATTAAATACAGTGAGAAGAAATAGGAGCAAAAAAATTGTGTTTTCGTATAATAATAATCTTACTACTAATGGAGCTAAGGCCAAATTTTGCGAACAATATATTCTCAGAAACTACCCAATGAAGAAATATGAAACTTTGCAGGAACCAATAACTTGGAACATAGTGTTGCACTATTGTATTTTCATTAAGATCAAATGTGTAAGA